AATTAATACAGCCTCCTCATCTACAGGATCCTCTATAAATGGACACGCCATTTTGGTCTCTGCGTGACGGAAACATGTGCAATCTATGAATGTACTGAAAGATTAAATGAGGTAGGCCTATTTAAACACCTTTCACTTTAAAAAGGGGCGGAGACCAGAGGAAACTCTGGGTTTCCCGAACAAAACCTGCTCCCAACCAGGTTAGGTTCACAGAGTAAGTTGCCATAGTAACTGACTCTGAGTTTAGATTACCTTTCTTTTTGAAACGGGTTTAACTTACCCCACTTTCACGGGTTTAAGTTACCTCCGTTTCTAGAACCGAAAACTTCGAGTTTTCCTCATTTCGGGGTTAACAAACTCAGAGTTTCAACAAAACCTCCTTCTTGAAACGGGCCCCAGTAGTCTACAAGCCAAAACAACAATGGCGGGAGAGAGATAAGTGTGGTTGTAGCTTTGTTGGCTCTTCAAGCATGTACTTTTTCCACTTCATGCAAAATTGGTTAGCATGTCTTGCTATGTGTGCAAATGTCATGTGTAATAACTGCAGTCAATGCACTCATTACATTAGGAATGCTTTGTACTTGATATGTTCAGCCAGTGTTCCAAAAACAGAGACATTTAATCTAGTTTACTATTATTCATATAAAAGACTAAGCCACGCAACTAATCCTCACATCTGAGAAAATACAGTAGTACTGCAGTTTTACTGTAAATGTTTCCACCAACAGCTCCATAATACACTGAAAAACAATCTCTTCTGCTTGAAAGTCAGTGAAGAAATATTATACACTATTAGTCAGCAATAATGCTTGTGGTAAAAATGGATTCTTCTGACCACACATTCCTGTCCCAGACACTAAAGAAATGTACTCACAGATAAAGCTGTTCTCCTTGGGTCAGTGGCGAGACAAAGAGCCGGAATTCACGTCAGCAGACTATCATCCTGAAAGACAAACAATGTATGAAATACAATGTCACACACCAAAGACCACAGCCAAATATTTGAATGGAAAAACAAATGCTAACAGAGTTTGGTCAGGAATAACTCTGTAAAAAGGACCTCTGGTTCCACCATACTTTCTCTCTGGCATGCATTCAAAGGAACTCGAGATCTTACAAAATTCCCATCAATTCATAGAAAATGTAATAAACAGTATAAAGTACTTAACTTTTGAAGGACCAGAGTTATCAGAAGTCATTTTAAAACCGTAGAGTCCAAAAGAAGTGTTCCTCCTTTTTACATTAGCAATCCCAATCAATTGCCATTTCTAAAAGCACGACTGTTAGTAACATCACAGTTCAGTTTGCCATCCAGCACCTGCACACACACCCCAACAGCTGCGCACATGCAACACTTCTGTATTCACATCCAGCTGGAGTTTCCATTACTGTTCCTACCATGACAATTGCTCACACAGTCTACAAAGACTATGCCTAGCGTAGACATTGTGTGTATTCGTCAGCTGGAGGCAAAACATGAGTGTTCGGCAACAGAAAAGTAACCACGTCGCCAGTGCAGCCACCAAGCTGCCAGTGAGTGAGTAATCAGTCTGGCAGCCACAGCCCTTCCAACAAGAAGCTGCATGCACACTATGTGCCCTGTTGTTTTAGCACCAACTGAGAACAAAAAGGACAGTGGCCAGTTAAGTTCACACCACAGGCTCACTACATTAAAGCATGAGCTGGGCTTAAAGGGGTATACAGCTGAGTTTCAGAGGCATAATGTAATAGTATGGCACGCCAGTGAAATGTCACTACTGTGGCATGATAGCAAACGTTGTGTGGGATGCCTGACTGCTGCACAGTTCTAAACAACGATTCATGAAAGACAGAGAATGCTACTCCCCAATACTGTAGGGATAAATCAATATAATGTTTTTAAATTCTTGCGTTTCAGAACTGACATCAAGCTTATTTTAAAAAGTAGACATTCAAACAAATGCTGTTATATTCCACAAATTCCGGCCTCTTGATTTTAAAGGCCTTTCAGACTACAGATAACAGACGTTCAAGAAGTTTGCCCAGGGAAGAGGAGCAGTAGCGAGGAGGGAGCTATTCATGAGTATCTTGCAGTCAGGTGTGTAGAATATAAAGAGCAATGAATGTGTGTCAGATTTGTTAAATGAGCCGAGTGTGTAGAATATGGATTTAGATAAATCTGCTGACTTGTACAGAATTGATTCTGTTTCAAATATTGAATTAACATGAAATTCTCATTTCTGGGCTTTCAGAGGAAAGGAGAGAATGATTTAAAAGCTTGGCGCCCCTCATTGAGATGTACCTAAACCTTCCGGTCAACAATGCAGTGTATGAGTGAGGTTTTCCCACAATGAAGAGAGTAAAAACCGACAGGAGGTTAAGCCTCTCCTTCCATCAGCTGCAGAGGCCGATTTTTCTCTCAGTAAAAAAGGACCCCACTGGAGAAGTTCAATGTTGAAGCTGCAGTGCACAGGTAGTAGACCACCTGCCAAGGACAGTGTTGGCCAGGGTTCAACCCCTGGGCTTTTAGGTAGGGGCTGGAGGAACATATTGAAAATTGAACTATTTAAGTCTCCGATGTGTTTACTGGTGTACAGGGGTAATTGGTTGCTATGGCTTGTTTGCTAGGGGCAGTGTTTAAGTTGCAATTGTTCAGTTTATGAAATTCTTAGTGTTAATTGTATGTTTTTGCATTAATAAATTACTATAAATTGTCCAAATCCGTGTTTTTTTTTAAAAGAGGCCTACATCATCCATTTTGTCCAAGTAAGTTTGGCTATCAGGGAAGTAAAACACCTTGGGAAAGTGTGACTCAGGTGTTTTACTTGCCCTTGGGCAAGTGACTGAAAAAGCTTAATGCCAAGCCCTGAAGTGAGCAGAAAAGTTAGATTGAGTACAAAGATCTGTTGACAATAGCAGAAATCCACAGACAATAAAGAGTGTTGTAATATTATTGAAGTAGGGGATACATGTGGGCGATGGCAACGCTGTCCATGTGACCAGGCAGAAAGGAGATGTGGCGGTGTATCCAAAGCACGCAACAAACACACACTTCCTAATCTGAGTGGAAAAGCTCCATGACTGTGCAGCAACTAATTCTGCACACACATGTTCACACATAGAGATTTTTTTTAAGATAAAATAAAAATTAACAGATTTTATATGTAAATGCTTTAAGAAAAAATGTGAAAGAACAAATGCACTTGCTCCATAACCTATTTCTTAAAAAAAAAAATAGTTATGCCTTTCTAACACAGTTTAGATAAAAATATAGCCACAATAGCTGAACACTACATTTAGAGATAAGTCAGTTACACGTATTAGCTACTGTGCTCATCCCTATCCCAGCTAAGCCTGTCTGATATTTTAGCACACACACACACATTTTTATCTGTGTATTCTTATAAAACAGTGACTACTTGTGTGCCACTGACACAGTGGAATAGAGGGTTTCTCCATCCATTACCTCACACAGTGTATGACTTATAATCTGACAAACAGTGGTGGCTTTCTACAGTTTAAGAGGTTCCTCACAAACACTAAAATGGAGATAACAAATTTACAACTCATGCCCAGTTTCACTTACTACAGGGAATATACAAGGTTATGTCTCTTTATTGACGCATGTTAAACACAGTAAGCCCCTACAGCAATAACATGTTGATTTAACCAGGGTGAAATTGTGTGCTGAACTAATGGTATTCATCTTCTAAACATCTAGGTTTAACCTCATCTGATTCAGATGCCATTTCTATATGGACAGTGATTGATTGTATAATGGCATAAAACACTTTGTTTATGCACCAAATCGCCCTGCCATTACTGTATTTATGGGGTTTCCCAGACTTCCCCATCATACCATAAAACACTTCCTTTTTTTCACCACCCACATCTTAAGTGTCCCAAACTGAAATATTTCACTTGCATTTGCTTCTGAATATTTGAAAGTTATCCACTGTAATAAGAAAAATGATTAGCTGGGAATGTGTTTACCTTGTTTGACTTTATCATTATACTTCATAGAACATTTTGTTTAGTATCCTGAGCAGCATATCATTCGTTTAGAAACGTGATTCCAAGCTGAACAAAAAGGAAGAGATGCCCACAGTGCAAACTCCCGGGAGACATGAGGAGAACAGTCCACAGACGGACAGGAAGCCTACGTGATGTGACTGATTCACAAGATCGTTCGGTGCAACTTATCATGTTTCCTCAAAAATAGCTCCGGTACAGCTCGAATGACAGAAAGCTTCCACCCGAGCATACTGGAACACAAGTTTTTTGCAAACCTCTGCAATAATGAATCTTATTTAGTTTTTCTTTAGCATAATAAACGGATGCAGACGGATACGCAAATGTAACAAAAGTTGTAACAAAATGTCGCCTAGGCTGTAAACAAAGGATCAAGACCGACGTTATTACACGTTGTAGATAAGGTATTGTGGATAAATGCTACAGAAAGTTTAAATACATGAAACATTTTCGTTGGGAATTAAGAAATATTTGCACAGTATCAAACAAAGGACGGTTAAAGAGAGTCGCTTACCGGTGGCATAACCGCCTTCCCACGCGCCGATACCGCCGGAACTTCTGTACTGCGAGTCAACCGCACGCGCCCCCTTTTATCAGGCTCCATTTGTGCCGTTCGCGCTCGTTCCCCTTCCCGACCCCGAGAGCGCATCGATTGGCTTTAACTCCGGCGACGCAAATCCTTCCGTTCACCAATGGCCGTCACGGCGCACACCCCCTCTGCCATCCCACAACTGCCTGTCCTGCATTCATTTGACTTACTGCCAGAGCGGAGAAAGGCTATTATTTGCTCCTCCAGTTTAATGAGGCCCCGGGCTCTGTTTTTCATTGATTCCCTGATGTGTTTTAATTGACTGTCTCTTTAAATAACAGTTCGTATAGTACTGTAATGAAAGCTATCTTTATAAAATAAGTCCAGTTTTAGGCATGGTCAATAGAGAGAGAGAACCATAAGTGTAACAGACTAATCTAGGAGCAAATGATGATAAAATGTAATCGTTAAAATATAATGTTAACACAAAAGTCTGACTTATGTGCTGCCCTGCTTTGCTTTTTTTATTTCCCAAAGGGAAATTGCATTGTTACAGCTTCCACTTCACATACTGTATATCACAAAAACAATATGAGAATTAAGGCTAAGTTATATGCAAATGATGAACAGACTAAATAAAGTATAAAACTTTAAATAGAATAAAAATAAGTAGAGACGAAAGATAGACCCATAGCTATACAGTGTGCTGATTATACTCCTTACAATAATAATAATAATAACAATAATAAATTATACATTAGAAAAGTAGGGTGGCTATTTTTTTTAAAGTCCATGGATGTTAAATAAATCATTACACAAAGTATGTACATATGGTAAAGTATACATAGAGGCCGATACTTGAACGGTCAGATGAATCTGATATAGAATCAATGTGGTTATGTCTTACCAACATTATTACATCATTGCACTGAGTTACACGTGCAGTGTTGCATTGTGTGAACTTGCATGTGTTGCGTGAGTTTCTGGTGGGTTGCCTTGTGTTGTTGCATTACACTGGAGGAAATCAGTTTGGGTTACACCATGCCACATTTAATTGTGATATGTTGCACTGTTACAATGTTCAGCTCTTTTCTTCTTGTGTTTCACAGTGCTACGTTACACTGAGTTGCATGGCTCCAACAACGACATTATACAGTATGTGTTGCACTGTTATGTTGCTCTGAAGTGTGTTGCATTTTATAGTGTTCAAGGCCACACTCAGCAGCATTTTAGAAAAATTTTGATGCCTTGGATGTTGCCAGGCAACAGCTGTCCTGAAACAGAGATGAATGGGTGTCCCTGGGCTCGTTCTCTTCATCTCCACCTTTATCTTCATCTTTTATTAACTCTCAGGCTCAGTAACATAGAATATGATCAGTATAAATGCAGTGTAACTTTATCACATTCTAGCAGGTTCTCACACTTATAGCTCATCAAGATGTGTATTATGGGCTTTGGGGCATAGTACAGCTACATGGTCTCAGTGTCACTGATGTAAGCTATAGCCTCCTGAGACCCAGTCGAAGAACATGTTTTAATTGTTTGATTTCTTTAATATATATTAAGTCTTTGGGATGCGGGAAATGTGTGGCATCACTAAAAAGCCCAGGATGTCCTCTTTCCAGGACATTAGGACACAAACAGCATGGTGTTTGAAATAAAGACCACAGTGCCAGGTCTCAGGAGGATAGGAGAAGTGGGTGTTTCTTTCAACATCAGTCTTAACAAGTGAATCAGGGTTGGCAATTAACAGAAGAATGGTCTTGCTCCCCAGCCACCTTAAGGGCTTTGTCTGCTTCTGATTGGCCTAATCTTGCACATACAGGTCCATGAGTGGGCAAAGGTATCATCCCCTTCCTCTGGTATTGTATACTGCAGTTGAACCCATGGGTGAATTGTGACACAATGGGTCCCTGGGCACAAACATTTAAAAGGCCCGACCACCCACCTATATAGAAGCAAGATATCAAGAGTGAAACAGACACATTTTGTTAGTATTTTTATGATTACTTTTTGTGTTTGATCATGTTTTCTCTTTGTGGTCAAGTCAAGTCAAGCCAAATATCACAAATCACAAATTTGATTAAGGAGATTAATTTACAATCTGTAAAGCATACAACACCCACTATCCTTAGACCTTCAAGTTGGATAAGTTGCATCCCTTTATAATCATTTTACCTCTTTATAGTCAGTTTTGCATCTCTTGGCAGTTGTTCTGTCTCTTCTGGCAGTTTTTTTTTGTCTCTCTCTGGTGTATTTTGCAGTCAAGCTCCAGGCGCCCTGACCCCTTCAGCCCCTGGATCTGTGCTGACATCCAACAGGGAATTTCTATCTCTACAAAGCTCTCATCTGTCTTCATGCTTCAAAAAGCAACATATCTGGCTCTTGTCACTGTGAATATTCTGGGGATCCTGAGCTCCATCCCTGGATAAATATTTAGCCAACATTCTTCTGTTAATCTTTTATATGTGATCTGACACACA